CTTTAGAGCCTGTCCCACGTGCTCTGCCAGACAGATGGAGAGATCCAGGACACTCTGGCCCTTGTGTTTCCCAGCCCTGGTGTTTCATCCCCCGATCCTGCTGTCATGCTCCCTCCTGGCCCCTCAAGGCACCGTGGCTCTGTCTCCTGGGCTCCTGCAGCTGCCCAGGACACGGCCCAGTGGCTCACATTCCCCTGATACAGAGCTCTGTCCCTGCAGAGCTGCTGCAGTCATGTGGAGGACCATAGCCTTGTCTGGAACAACAGTGGTGAGGGTACTGCCAACACTGCTCTACGTGATGGAGGACTGGCCACTGCATGGCACGTCCACTTCTGAGGGGCGCAAGGACATCATTGCCCTGGCTGTGAGTTTCTGAGGTTTTTGATCAACTCCAGGTTGCCTCTCTGATAGTTCTCTATCCTCCCCCACCAAGCTATCTCTCTGCCTCAGGCACTAGGCTGGAAACCTGGACTAGGGGCAGGTTCAGGGGCACCAGGTCAGGGGTTCCCTCTGAGTCTCCCCTGGCCTTTCCCTCCCATGCTCGGGTCCTGCCACATGGATATGTGGGCACTGAGAGCTGGTCCGGGTGGTTTATCTTTTGTAGGCAACCATAGTGGTTTGGGAAATTCTCCAGATGATCCGCTACCCAGAGCTATTGATGGAATATTCCCCCCGTCTCCTCGTGGATCTGCTCTTCGTGGTTCTCATCAGCACAGAGCAGATGCCAGAGGAGGTTGCCACCTTCTGGGGGAGATGCTGGGAGGAACACCGCTTTGCCAGGAACCCCAGCAGGTGCTCCATCCCAGTCCTCCTGTGCCTTCCATGCCCTTGGGGCAGGCTCAGGGCTCCCAGCATGACCTGAGCTTCTCTCTCCACACAGATTCACAGTGCTGACCGTGAAGACCCTGCTTTGCCATCTGTAGTTTGAAAATATTGTGATGGCAATGGAACGGAAGCGTGGCTGGGACACGCTCCTCAGGCCTGACACCCGCCACTACGCAGTGGGTCTGCTGGCCAGGTGAGACCCCCTTGTCCCTGCTGCCCCTGTCATTTCTGCCTGGGCACGGGGCACCCCCACAGTGCCCGTGGTCGTGGGCCAGAGGGCCTTGTCAGCCAGGGATGGCTGAGCAGAGTGGAAAAGGCTGGGAGAGGCGGGGGCACAGGAGGAGCCACCTGCCAAGGTGCATGTGTCCCCTCCTGAGCTGGTGGGGAAAGACCATGCCTCTGTGTGAGTGAACCCCAGCAGAGGTTTCCCCACCCAGCTCAGGGTTGACGGTGCCTGTTTCCCCCTGCCAGGGAGATGCGCCGTGCCTCGAGCCCCTTGTGTTCCCCAGTTGCCCTCTGCCTGCTGGGGGTGCTCATCAGGGAGAAGCCCCGCTGGGAGGTTCCCGCCATGGCCTTCCTTGTGGAGGTGAGCCTGCTGGCGAGCGCTGCCTGGCCGAGCTGCCTCCACCTCTCAGCCCTCTGGCAGCCGCAGCTGCTGCCTGGGCACAGCCCCGTGCAGGTCCAGGCTCCTGCCGGCCGGGCACCCCGTCACTGCTGCGTGCCTTGCAGGTCCTCGACTGCCTGGACATGACTGAATGTGGGGATGGAATCCTGCAGATCCTTTCAAGAGACCTGGTGAACGAATGCAAAGAGAGGCGTCGCCTGGCGATCAAAGGCTTTGTACTGCTGAGCACGGATCCTATGATGGTGAGG